ACAAGTCCATTTGTGGAGAGCTTGGTCTCCCTTGGTAGATGAATTTAACAACTCAATTCTAATCTTGTATTAATTATTTTTTATTATTTAATTTTATGTTCTTATTTCTAGTATTGTTATCTTCTTTGTTTGGGGGAGTGCTAGAGTGGGTTAATGATCCAAGAAGGGTGTGATATGCTATTAACATTGCTGGTGTGTGTGTATGTGTGAGAAGTGACTAAAGTTGTTTAGGCATTGGGAGTTTTAATAGATTGAGAAGGGTTTACTAAGTCTGAGTTTAAGCTTGATCTTTGCATCAAGTGGCTTAAGCAGTCTTCTTTGTTCAGCTGCATGTTTCTTGGCTATTATTGAACAAGTCTGTAGATGCTTCAGGGGCTTGTGTCCATTCATCTCCACCCTTGAAGGGAATTGTTCAGTTTTGCTAATTGGAAGGCCATTTTAACATTGGAATTTCAAGTCAATGTTTTATATCTTACACTAGTTATAGATTTTATTTTAAAAAGTTTTTTACTTCAGCTTTTGTACCCTCATTTTATTAAGGCACTCCACCTGCTTGGTTTATGAAACTATTCATTAATGAAATGTTTTGTTTATAAAAAAAAGGGAAGAAAAATAATTTCTTTTCTACTCGACCCTTTCATAGTTTTCTACCCAAACATGGCCTGATTATTTGGAATCCATCAACCAAGGAACCTGTGTCCTACACAACCTTTCCATATTTTTTTACGGTATAATTGATATTGAATATTTTTTATTAAAAATATGAACCTGTGCCCTACATAACCCCTTCATATTTTTCTACCCAAATGCAGCCCAACTCCACAACAGAAATATTAAATAAGCAAACACTATTCGTTTGCCCAAACCAAAGATGTCGACAACTATCTGTACCCCTTTCTCCTTCTAATCGATGAAAAGAAAAGCACCTACAACTCCCCAAAACCTTAACCCTAAATTATGGTGAACTGATTTCAATTCATAATTGTCAAAGCAACTCAATTTTCTTTCAGATAAGGCAAAGTAAACTGAAATTTTTCCCCAGCATCTTATTGAGGAAATTCTTGTGAGGCTTGGAGTCAAGTCTCTTGTTCGATTCAAATGTGTATCGAAACAATGGCTTTTTCTACCATCTAATCAACAATTCGTCAACAAACACCTCAAAATTAGGACTTGTATGCTAAATCGCCAGGATTTCATTGTTCAAGGCCCTAAAGTTACAAACTTTGTTATCGCCTCTATATAATCATGTCGATCAAATTCTTTTTCAATCACTAGAAACCAACTTCAAAGTGCAACCTTCAGAGATATTTACTGTCATAGGGCATTGCAACAGTCTTGTGTGTCTTCACTATTATTCTAAGGAAATAGACTACAGCAGCCCAATTATATGGATTTTGTCAACCAAGGAACATAAGAGATTTCCAATGTCAAAATGTCGTTAGGGGATTCCCAAATCCTTTGAGTTTGGTTACCATTCCGATAGTGATGATTATAGGTCGCACTAGTTTTAACCGTTATAGACCAACCAATGAAGGTTTAATGCTTAAGTCTAAAGGCGGGTTCATGGAAAATTGGATGGTGCAACATATGTTACATTTTTACTTTATATTCAATTGTGTAACATATCAATGGCTATATATATTGATTGAGAAAGAACAATCTATTATGGGTTGCCAGTTTTGATTTAAACACTGAAACATTTAGAGAAGGGGAATCTCTAGGTTGGATACTATCTAACACTAACAGAATTTATGTTAATTTGGAGTTGGTGAGAGGGTGTCTTTGTCTGGTAGATAGTAAGGACCAGGTTATTTTTTATGTGTGGTTGATAAAGGAGGATGAGTTGACATAGACAAAATCTTAGATCAAACTGTTTACAATTAGTAGTACAGATGACAATTCTCCAAACCATTAAATATCAAGAAAGACCAGATTGTTCCTATCTGTTTTATCAAAAATGGTAAAGTCATGATTTATTCAATTAAAGACGAGTACATTCTCTGTGACCTTAACGACCAATAATTTAAAAGGCTTGTCGAAATAGGCAATCTTGGTTTAGATCCCACAAGTCCATTTGTGGAGCACTTGGTCTCCCTTGGTAGATGATTTCAACAACCCAATTCTAATCTTGTATTAATTATT